CCCCAACAAAAACAAGTCACAAAAATAAATGTTCAAGTATTCAAGTCTTTAAATTCAGGTCCCTGATTGGGATGCCACTCTGTAACGGTGGTGGCCGCCCTAGCATAAATAAACTCTATGAGGAAAATATTCGGGCGCCAGTCAGGTTTTAACCCTGACAAAATTTACATTAAACCCAGGATAGCAACCTAAAACACCACCTGTTACAACAGTAAATCACAGACAGTCAAAAAATACTGTTCAAAGGGAATATTTATTCCTCTATCGTCCATGGCATGGAAAAAAAAACGAATACCGCTAGAATAACACCATTAATTTTACGTAAATGTTTCACATGAACGAATCAAAATGAAATACAATGATACGTAACACATAATAAGGCCTTAAATTAGTGAAATGAGGAGTATCGCTCAGATCACCTACACAGTGCTGAAAAAGGGGATTTCTTCGCCCAAGATCAGACCGATTTATTCTGGTACCATTTATATGGGCTGCTAATCTGAGATTTACCCGTCAGAAAAGGCGTACCCTCTCATGTCTTCAGTTAGCCAATGAGCTTCAGGCAAGCATTAAAAGAGCCCTTGTGTCTGTTGTACTGGACAGTGTAGGTATTCTGACACAAATGTGTTTTACATTCATGAATTGTCATGCACATTAACCGAATGTGCGAAAGTGAATGTGGTGCGAGTGCGTGCATGTGTAGTAGTGAGTGAAATGAGTATGTGTAATGGCGGCAGAGAGGTACTGACCAAGTTCGCAGTCATGACGAAAGTTGGAGAGTATAGCGGGATTTTTCAGACACCAGGACAGGTGGATGAGCAGCCGATACTTGTCTTCAGAACAACTTTAAGTGCAGACAATCTGGCAGTGCCACGTTTAAAAGTAAATTGGAACTTCACAACGCACCAGACATCACTCACAAGAAAAGCAACCGTTTGATCAAACCGCCATCTTTCCACCTTCGCCGGGTTCTCCAAACAGTCACTCCCACACTACTGCAAACTTTTACGGATGACGCAATTACTCTCAGGTATGACTCACTTCCTTATATCCTCTTTCCTTCCGCTGATAATTGAAATGCTCCACCCCAAACACGCAAAGTGAAAACGAAAGTAAACCAAAAGATGTTGTGGCACAACATTTTCACTGCCACACTCTCCCTCCCTTGAAGAAAACAACCCATGGTTGTTTAAAAGAAAGCATGGATTAGAATCCTAAAAATTCTTCTTTCTCATCAGAGGCTTCCTGAAACAGGTCAAAGAGTTTTGTCTTTCCTGGGACTCCAATTCTTCGGCTGTTGGAAAACACATTTTTAAATTACAGACATGTGCTGTCCGGACATCTTCTCCCGTGTCTTCCAGGGCTATTTCATAGTTCAGAGGACCCAGCTGCTTCAGAATACGGTAAGGTCCCTTCCACTTCGGTGCTAGTTTTGCACTAAAATTATGTTGTGCACTAGACTGTGGGAAGTTACGTAACCATACACGGTCCTTGCTTTTGAATGTTAAATCTCTCCTCGTTTTGTTATAATTTCTCAGTTGTCTCAATTTTGCTTTCTTAC